AAAAAAAAAAAAAAAAAAGGAAATTGCTCAATACCAAAGGCAATGCCATAACCAATTCTGCCCTGATCGACAAACTCCTTGAAGCCTCCCGGCTACCGGCTCGGCTAGGGGTCTTCCATTGTAAGACACATCAAAAGGTCAACTCTCCCACAACTCAAGGTAATTGCTTAGTGGACCAAACGGCATGATTGGTCGCCACAGACGGCCGTGACACCCCAGATGCTGCACTCCTTCCTCTCCTACCAGATACCACAGACAACCCTGCTCCAACACCAGATAATAAATCTTCTTTTTTCCATCTTCTCCATGATCTATTCCATTCAAATCCATGAAGTCTAACACTCTTCCTCCAAACTTTCTTTCCTTTAACTTCAGCAGACAAAGCTCTTCTACAAAAATCTCTCACAATTGCTCCATCTGCCAACATACCAACCCTAACACTCCCTTAAAAGCCAAACCGTATCCCTCACACCAAGCTAGGGGTAATGTCCCTGCCACAGACTGGCAGATCGATTTCACCCACATGACTCCTGTTAAACATCAGCAATATCTCCTAGTTATGGTGGATACCTTTTCCGGGTGGATAGAGGCCTTCCCCACTACTAACAAAAAGGCCACCACTGTGGCTTCCATACTCCTCTCCCAGATTATGCCAAGGTTTAAAATGCCCTCTTCCATACAAACGTACAATGGCCCAGAGTTCACACCTCAAATAATACAAAATTTATCTCGAGCTCTCTCCCTCCCCTGGCATCTACACTGTCCTTACCGGCCACAGGCCTCAGGAAAAGTTGAACACGCCAACAGGGCTCTAAAAGACATCCTTACTAAACTATCTCTGGAACTTCACCTTGACTGGACTTGCCTTTTACCCCTAGCCTTATTTAAACTCAGGGTCCTCCCAAAGAAACCTTCAAACCTCTCCCCTTTTGAAATAATGTATGGGAGGTCCCCTTTACCTCCAGGAATCATCCCTAAACAAAAAACCTTACCCTCCAACCTAGCTATCCCATTACTCTCCCATCTTCGAGCTGAACTCTCAAAACACCAGGATTGGATATTGCCTAATCCTACCTGCTCCCAAGAGACCCCCACAGTACACCCTGGGGATTTAGTATTCTACCCCCCCCCCCCCCAGAGCCACAAGGTCCTTTAACTCCTAAGTGGAAAGGCCCTTGCCCAGTCATTCTTTGCACTCCCACAGCTGCCAAGCTTTCCCTACCAAACAACCAAGTAACACCATGGATCCCTATCTCTAGGTTAAAACCCTGCTTCCCGACCTCACCAACGGATCCCACGGAACCTACACGTGACCTGCAAGTTCAGGACACACCCTTTCAAAAAACTAAAACCTTTGCCTACACTTCTCATCCCTCTAACCCCCTTAAAACTCCGTTTATCCCGACTCCCAAGTCCCCCTCCATTACAGGAACAATGACCACTCCCATTAACGTTATCCTGTTTCTCTTACTGTGCCTAGTAGGTGTCTCTAAATCCCCGTACGTTTGGTGGTTCATGGTGCGAGAAACTCTTACAGGAAAACAAGGTAAACAAGGTAAAACCACCAAACTACTCCCTTCCACGGCAGACTGTTCTGTAGCAGGATGCCAAAGGGCCATTACCATCCCCCTTACAGGGAGTAAACTAACCTCTCAATCCTCCCGCCCATATATATGTTTTATCTTTGACCAGACTCAACCTTCTTGCCGCTGGTGGCCAGAAACTTATGGGGGATGCCCGTACTGGTCATGCAAAATTCACGACCCACTTATAAATGCAGAGGACCGGATACTTCAGCGCGGCACACAAGGCACTCTCCAACTTGCCATCAGTTACCCCTGGGACTCCAGGTGGGCTGGGGTAGTTATTGGATCTTTCTACTGCAGTGCCTTGGTCAATTCTCGCCCTTGTGGACAATTTAAAATCACCCACATAGGGCCGGCCCGGTGGTGCACTGGAGAGTGTGCCGCTTGGGAGCACAGCGGCGCTCCTGCCAAGGGTTCAGATCCCATGTGGAGACCGGTTCCCGCTCACTGGCTGAGCACGGTGTGGGTGCAACACCGAGGGTTGTGATCCCATTGCCGGTCCCCGGTACAGGTGCAACACTGAGGGTTGCAATCCCATTACCGGTCAGTAAAAAAGGGAAAAAAAGAAAAATCACCCACACATATGTCCTCATAAAAAATCACGTTTCCTTATCTGCTGTACATACTCACATTTCTCAGCAAGAAAAAACCCTTTCCTCAGAGAAAAATCGCCGCCAACCAGCCCTCTCCCATCTACACTTGGCAACAAATTATTTCTGAAACTGTTATCTTCCTTAACCAGACTTTCTTCAACTCCACCCCTCTTAACAATTGCTTCCTTTGTGCATCTTTGGTACGCCCACTTCTGGCTGCTGTCCCTGTAAACATTACCTCACTCCCTTCCAACTCTTCCTCTACACACCTCAGCCTTCCTGATGTTCCTCTATGGGACCCCGATAACACCCCCAACCACACTCTGGTGTCCTATCACTGCTTTCTGGGATCATCCACCCCCCCACCCCATTCTTCATTCCATTGCACAAAAAGATCCACCATCACAAGCCACACAACATCCCCACTGGGCACCTTTTTTTTGGTGCAACAGAACCCTTTCCACCTTTATCTTTGTTAATACCTCTGTCCCTTGCTACCTAGTCACTGTCGTTCCCCAACTAACTTTATATTCCCACGCAGAGCTTTTCCACCTTTTCCATCTACCCCCAAGACAGCATCGAGCTGTCTTTCTCCCAGTCCTAGTGGGAATGTCCTTAACAACATCAATTGTTACAACTGGCCTGTTGGGTGGGGCCTTAGGACATACTCTATGGGCGGCACAAGACGTTAATAACAAACTGTAAAAGGCCCTCACCTCCAGAGCTGAATCTCTATCTGCCTTACAAAGACAAATCACCTCCCTAGCTAAAGTTACCTTACAAAACCACCGTGCACTAGACCTCCTCACGGCAGAAAAGGGTGGCACTTACATCTTCCTCCGGGAAGAATGTTGCTATTATTATATCAATGAATCGGGACTAGTAAAAACCAATATTGTCAAACTCACCAACCTAGCCTCAGACCTCAGAGCCAACCGCCCTGATCCTTTCTCCTCTTTTTTCCAAGGCTCACTTCTCACCTGGATATGGCCAATATTAGGACCCCTCGCTGTTATATTTATAGCCTGTCTTTTCGGCCTTACATTATAAAATTCACTCAAACTCAACTCGGAAAAATTTCTAACCAAACTTTTAACCAGCTTTTACTTAGAAACTACCAGCTCCTAGCCACCGAGGATCCTGCCCGCTCTTCACCAGATCAGCTAACCCACTGTGAGAATGGACCTGCCTCGGGCCGGCCCGGTGGCACACTGGATAAGTGCGCCGCTTGGGAAGCGCGGCGGCGCTCCCGCCCAAGGGTTCAGATCCCACATACGGACCGGTTCCCGCTCACTGGCTGAGCGAGGCGTGGGGCAACACTGAGGGTTGCAATCCCGTTGCTGGTCCCCGGTCCGGTACAGGGGCAACACTGAGGGTTGCGATCCATTGCCAGACACGGAAAAAGACAAAAAAGAAAAAAAAGAAAAAAAAAAAGAATGGACCTGCCTCATCGACTGGTGAGCTCACTGGCGGAGTGCGGTGTGGGCAACACCAAGCCAATGGTTGCCATCCCCTTACCGGTCACACACAAAAAAAACCCCAGAAACACTCTTCTTAAAACTAGACCCTTAAAAATAAAGAAATGTAAACAAATGCAAAAAAAAGGTAGGTCTAGAACTATCAATATCAGAATGATATTCATTCATCCTCCTAATAGTTTTATAATATTTATTGCATATTTATGGTATGCCAGGCACTATTTTGGGTTTTGTAGAAACAAACAAGCAAACAAAGAACAACCTTGCAATCGTGGAACTTATTATCTAGGGGAGAAAAGACAAACAATACATAAATAGATAAAACACATTGCATTTTAGTGAAGGTAAGTGGACTGAAAGGAACCGAAGCAGAGGTGAGAGACAAAGTGTAGGCCAAGACTACAGTCAAGCAGTTTGTGATTTTTCACAGTACTTTCTCACATTAACAGAACTTCCCCTTCTTATATGTAGCTTATCTCTACCTGTATGCTTTTCTGACTACTAATGTGACCAACCCCTGCTGTGTATTTTCTTTATATACAATTCCTTCTGCTTCTTCAAATCTGGTTTATCAATGTTTCAGCTTTGTGTTCCTCCTGTTATTTTTTTCTACTGGCATTAAAGGTTTAATTTCTGATGCTAACTGTAAGGATACCGTGGGCACTCAGCGGAGGGGGAGGGGGAAAGCATTCTCTGGCAATATGGCGCCCTTCTGGGTTCTTCTCCGCAGTAAAAGCCCGCCAGTGCCAAAACCTCAACCAGTCACAGGTCAGGGCTCACTTCCTGCCCAGCCCCATCCAATCAGCTACCGTCCGTCCACCCGCTATCCAAACCCAGAACGCAGCTCCCTATAAATGTACGCACAGTCCTTGAATAAAGTGGAACTTCTCTGGCGAACTGTCAGCTCGGGTCCTGTCGTCTTATCAGCTCGGGTCCATGCGCCCTTTCAGTAAGTAACAAAAGGAGCCAGGCAGTGGGTTCGAGGTGAGCTTTAATGTAAGCGCTCTCGGGTGAGGTTACATGGCTCGCAAGGGAGTAGGCTGGGGAAGTCGCACCCAGGGTGGATACAAACAGGTATTTATAGGGGCAGGGCTGTTAGTGGTTTTTTGCCCATGTATGGTATGAAATTGAGCAAGGTTCAGTTTCCGGTTCTTGCCTTCCAGGGAAGGTAAAGTGGGGGGGGCGGTGGGAGTTATAAAGATGGAGGCTGCCAGGCTACTTTGATGCTGCTTTCCGGTCCTCCCGATCCCACTGGCCCAATATTCCCACCTTTTTTTGTTGTTATAGGGCGACGACTCACATCTGGCTACTTCCTGCTGAGTAACGGGCATCATAGGGGTTGTCAGAAGTGGGCACACAGGAGTAGGAGTTGAGCAGAAGCTGGTTGTCGGAAAGGGGTAGGAGTGGAGGAGAAGCTTGTTGTCGGATACCCGAGACACCTCACGGATTCATTCCTGAATGAAGCGAAAAATACAGGAGGCCAAGGTTAACAATATCTGGAAAATAAGGAGTGGGCTTCGTAGGGTGAGGAGCCATGTGGTTAATGGATTTTGCCACCACTGATGTGAGGTAGGGTCTCCCAGGCGATACGGGGTCTGAAGGGAGTCAAAAACTTTGGTGAGAGTGTGGAGATTGGTTTCGACTATGCCTGTTTCATTGATGTAGCAACAGCCTTCTTCATTGAGAAACATGTAGGTGCCACCCCTATCTGCAGTGAGGAGGTCCAAGGCACATCGGTTCTGGAGGGCTATTCGAGCTACCGATGTGATCTGGCACTGCAGGGAGGCTAGAGACTCCGGTGAGGCCTCGATGGCCATCGGGAGCCTTTCAGAAAGATCTCTGGTTGAGTCTACAGGGTGGATAAGTGCCCCTATGCCCAGCCCTGTGGCCACCAGGGAGGAGGCCAGGGAGACCCCCAGGACTAGGGGGAGAAAAGCCACATGTTTTTGTTTTTCTGGTGGATTAACTAGGGCAATAATTTTGGCCTGGCTATAAACGGTGAGCTGGGGGACCAATGAGACAGGCAGGCAGAGGAGGGAGGCAGAAGAGTTGAGAGACTTGGAAAGGGTGCCACTGCACCAAAAGGAACCTCCAACGGCGTGTTGGCTGGTGGCGTTTGACTGGGTTGTATTGCAAAGAGAGGAATTAGGGGAAGAGTAGCAGAAGGGCAATATTAGAGCTTGGGGGTTAGTAAACAAGGGAATGTTTTGGAGGAAGGGTGAAAACCCCTGAGGAGTTGGAGTGGGGGTGGTGGATTGATTAAATGGGCCAGGAAGGGGGACAGCCACCAACAAGGATTTACCTAAGGCAGCACACAGAAAGCAGGGAGACAAGTTACCCATGCCAGAAAGGTTGGCAATGGTGGTGCCCTGCTGAATGAGCTTTACCCAGGAGAAGGCGTCTTGACCTAGATGAGGGCCAATCTGCAGGTGTTCTTGGAGAATGTGCCTGGATAACCCTAGTCTGGTTACTGAGAACAGAAAAGACCTGAGGGATGACCTTTGTGTAGGCCCCATAAATGTTAAGGGAAGCGGCAGGGTAAGACTGGAAGAGCCAGTGGTACAGTTTGGCATCGACTCCGATGGCCCAGTGGTCATTCCAGGGATCTGGAATAGTTAAGTAATAAGTGGTTTTTCCATTAGAGGTGAGGCAGTATTGGGCCCATTTGGTACCTGCACTATCCAGCTGGGAGGTGTGCATTGTGCAATAATGATAAGGGCAACCATTGTTAGTTTGAACCCAGTAAGTGCAGCAGTTGTAATGTGTTTCATCATAAACAAAACAGATAGCAGGGTTTGAGCTTACTCATGGAGCAGAGTTAAAAGCTGAGATAGAGAAATTAACTGAGGCCTGGCATCCCTGTGGTTGGCAATCAGTGGTGGAAATAAGTCTGGCATGGGTTTGATGATTGGTTGTCCAGGTTTCTGTTAAATAAAATCTCCATCTCTATCCTGAATCAGTAGCAGTGGGACTAAGAGACACAGTTAGGAGGAGAATGGTGACGTGATAGCCAAACCTGGGTAGGCCCCAAGGGCTCGGTTTTCCATATATCTTGGGAGGGAGACTCAGAGGGGGCACACTTAAGTTTGGAAAGGTGTACCCAGGGATGGTGTCCCAGGAATTTTGCGGGTGTGGGGGTTGTTAGAACCACCATGTAGGGACCAGTCCACCTGGGCTGTAGGGTTTTTGGATGTGGTTTTTTCAGTAGGACACTATCCCATGGGGTTAAATCTTGGGGAGTATCCGTGGTGGAGTCAGTTAATGGTCCCTACGGGGTGTCCTTAGCTGCCTTCTATAAGGGTTGTGCTAGGAGGGAGAAGTTGGGGATCCACTGTCGGAAGAAACCCACAACACCCAGAAAGGAGAGGATGTCATCAGCACTCTGGGGAGGTTGGAGATCCCAGTGAAGGCAAATATGGTCTCCTGTAAGAGACTTGGAAATGGGGGTTAGGGATATGCCTAGGTAAGTAACTGTGGGGGTGCAAAATTGAGCCTTGGAAGGAGTGACCCAATAATCCCTAGACACAAGGAAATTTACAAGGGTGGCAGTATCCTCTTGGGAAGAGGATAATGAGAGGCTGCAAAGAAGGTCATCCACATATTGGAGGAGGGGGCTGTACTTTAGAGTGCAAAGATTGAGATATTCGGCTAAAGACTGGCCGAAAAGATGGGGACTATCTCTAAAGGCTTGTGGCAAAATAGTCCGGGTAAGTTGTTGCAAAGTATGTGTTTCAGGGTCCTCCCAAGTGAAGGCAAAAAGGAAATAAGAGTCTGGATGAAGGGGGACAGAGAAGAAAGCATCTTTGAGGTCTAAAACGGAAAAGTGGGAGGTGATAGGGGGAATGTTGGAGAGCAGGGTATATGCATTGGAGATGACCAGATGGAGTGGGACTACGGCATCATTAGTAAGTCTTAAATCCTGCACTAGGCAGTAGGCTCCAGTGGGCTTTTTTATGGGGAGGATAGGGGTGTCACAGGGGGAGCTAATGGGTATAAGGAGTCCCTGCTGGCGGAGCCGATCTATGATGGGTTTCAGTCCTTGTCGGGGGGTTTCTAAAATGGGGAATTGAGGACGGGAAGGAAAGGGGGTCTGATCTTTTAATTGTATTTCTACTGGGGAATGGTGAGAAGCTACTATTGGCTTAGAAGTATCCCAAACCTGGGGGTCCACTGACAATGGGAAGTGGGGCAGTTGGGAAAGGTCAGGTGAAACTAGGGCCAAAATAAGGTGGGTGGAAACAGTGGGTGAGGGGGAAAGACGAATGGTGGTCTGGAGCTTGTGAAGGATATCCCGGCCGAGGAGGGGACGGGGCAGGAGGGAATTATTAGGAAAGAATGAGAAAAGGGAAATCCATCCAGGCTACAGGAAAGGGGTGGGATGGTCCTTGGATTAGAAGAGGCGCCGTCAATTCCCATGACCACCACTGTGGAGGAGAAGCTGGTGCCCGAGTAGGAAGGCAGAACAGAGGAGGTAGCCCCCATGTCCAACAGGAAGGAAATGGACTTACCTGCTACCTGGAGCATGACCCTGGGCTCAGTGTGGGTGAGAGGGGTTTCCGAGTCTGGGCCCCATCAGTCGTCATCCAGGCCAAGAAGCCGGAAGGCAGGACTTCCTGGCTCGGAGTTTCCCCTGCATGGAGGAGCTGGGGATCCTCCAGTGCTGGGGCAGTCAGATTTCCAGTGGCCCATCCTCCAGCATTGAGGGCATGGGCGTGTTGGTTCCTTCGGATTTGGACGTTGACAGGCCCCGTGTCTGTCAGTGCCACATTTGAAGCAAGCCCTCGGGGGGGGGTGCCCTGGGTTACCCCTTTCCATTGGTTCCCAGAGCCAGCCGGCGGCAGGGCTACTACCAAGGCTTGGGTTTGGAGTTGGACCTTCTGCTGGACCCAGGCCTATCTTTTAAAGTTTGGCCGTTTCCTCCCGGGCATTAAAAACTTCAAATGCCATTCTCACCAGGTCGGGAATGGGAGTTTGAGGGCCCTCCTCAGCCTTTCTTAATTTTTTACAAATATCAGGGACTGACTGAGAGATAAAATGGGTGACTAGGACAGTAGCTCCTGCCGGGGTGGAGGGGTCTAGGCGGGTAAACTGAAGTAGGACCTCAGTGAGTCTATTAAGGAAAACGGCAGGATTTTCATCTGTACTTTGGGCAATTTCCCGCAGTTTGTCGTAACTGACAGCCTTATTAGCAGCCGCCTGCATTCTGGTGATGAGGCACTGAACCATGCAGTTGCGACATCTGTGGCCATCTTGACCGTCGCCCAGGATAGTCCCACCCAGGGTCTGTGGTGGGAACTGCCTGAGCCCCTACGGCATAGTCGGATCAGTCAAATGGACCTGATCTGCACGTTCTCGGGCAGCAGCCTGGATGCGGTACCTCTCCTTGGCAGTGAGGGTTGTAGTCCGGATGACATGTAAGTCGTGTCATGTTAGGTCATATGCTTGGGCTAAATATTGGAACTCTCTGTTATAGTTTCCCGGGTTAGCAGAGTAGGAACCCAGCCACTTTTTTATTTGGGAGAGGTCTTGGTGTGAGAAGGGTGCATGAACTCGAACCACTCCTTCAGCACCAGCCACCTCCCTTAAGGGGCAGACCAGGTTGGGGGCAGGTGGGATTACTCGGGACCGTGTCTGGGCAGAAATGGGAGGCGAGTTGGGGGGTGAAGGTTTTGGGTCAGCCTGAGGCACCAGGGCAGGTGCTGAAGGAGCAGGGGAAGGGGGAGAAGGAGGCTGTGATTAGGGAGGGGGAGGAAGAGTTGCTGGCCCCCGAGCCGGCGGACTGGCCAGGTTTTCAGGGGGTTTGGACAGAGGAGAAGGGGGTAAGGATTCAGGGGTTTTCAGGGCAGACGGAGCCAGTGTGGTCCGAGCGAGGAGGACTTAGGAATGGTGGGTAGGTAGGGAAGGGACGTGAGCACACTGGGGGCAAGGGTGACGTGGGAGCCATTCCATAAAGAAGTAGAAAGTCAGAGAAACAGGTAGAGGAACAGGTCAAACAGACAGGAAGTCAGAGTTGGGCTGTAGGAGCTCAAAGGCAAACAGATAGGAAGTTAGAGTTGAGCTCCAGGAGCTCAAAGGACAAGGAGGAAGTTGAAGTTGAATTCCAAAAGGAAAAGCCAGTTAATTCAAAATGAAACCCGGTCTGGTTCCAAAGCAGAAGTAAAAAAGGGTCAGGAGCTTAACAATGGTGGTAGAAGATGGAGAAGCAGACAAGAAGTTAAGGTTGAGGTCCAGGAGCTCGGAAATGTGCGCGGAACTCCAGGAGATCAAGAAGGAGAGGCCGGTCCACTTAAAATGAATTTAGATTGAGCAGTTCCCATAATTCCTAGCGTGCAGCCCCAGAAAAAAGGCTGAATACAGGTAAAGGTAAGGGAAATAGCCGTGGGTCCTGGCTCAGACAAATAAGAGAGAAAGGGAAAAAGAAAGTAAAAAGTTTGGTTTGATCTGGGGCAGGGGAACTTAGAAGACAAGAGCGGGGGAGAAACCAGCGCGCACAAGTAACATGGGTAACGGGAGCTCCAGGAGCTCCGGAGACGGGGACAAAACAGTTACAGTAAAATGAAAGTAAAACAGGTGATGGATAAAGGGAGCTCCAGGAGCTCCGGAAAAAAGAATGAAGCAGTTACAAATGACAAAAAGCAAGACTAAAAAGGAGGAAGGGACCTCCGGGTGCCAGGAGTGGAGCAGCCACAACTGAGCTAAGAACCTGGAAGACGGAGGGTACAGGAAAAAGGGGCAGAGCATAGCCCCCAAAAGCCCGCCTGTACAAACTCTGGACCACTTGACCTGGCGACCACAGAAATTACTTACATTTGTGAAAACCTGATAGCCGGCAATGCCCCGAAGGAGTCGTTGAGACTGATTGTTTAATTGATGTCCCCGCCCCAAATGGCAATGACTGAGGTGGCCCTCGAATCCTGTGAGAGACCGACCAGCAGTCATTCCAGAAGGGGTTTTAGGGTTAGATTTTGGTCGGGCAGTTTCCACGATTCCCTGTCGGGCAGGCCAGGGGTTCAAATAGACGTCACCGTTTGGATTCCCAGGCTGTGGACAGATTAAAAGAGGCCACCGTGAAGATGGGGACATGTCACCACCTTCAGGCACCGGACAGGAGTCACCTGGTGACTTGGTGGAGTTGCCCTGACGTGGCCATGCATTTCCAGGCAGGGCCATCCCGATTGGGGCATGGAATCGGGGGAACTTACCCGGTGTCTCGAGGCCTGGGGCTCAGATAAGGTCCTGGTAAGGAGAGGAGGGAGGCTCCCACCGGAGCGCGGCCTCAACCTCCCCCTGAGTTTTGGCACCAGATGTCCGGTTCAAGTCGGCGGTGGTCAGTAACAAGAGGAGCCAGGCAGTGGGTTCCAGTCGAGCTTTAATGGAAGCGCTCTGGGGTGAGGTTCCGCTGCTCACAAGGGAGTGAGGTCGCGCCCAGGGTGGATACAAGTAGGTATTTATAGGGGACGGCTGTTGGTGGTTTTTTGCCCATATATGGTATGAAATTGAGCTGGGGTCAGTTTCCGGTTCTGCCTTCCGGGGAGAGGGGAAGGGGGTGGAGTTAACAAGATGACGACTCAGTTGCTACTTTGTTGCTGTTTTCCAGTCCTCCCGATCCCGCCTATCCAACACAGTGGAAAACATCTGCCTCAATATATGACACAGATGCTCCTCGATTTATGATGGGGTTATGTCCTGATAAACCCATTGTAAAGTTGAGAATTCTTAAGTTGAACCGTGTGTACTTTTTACTGACAAAATTGAGGACTTAGAGGGATGGTAACTGTTATATTATCTGTTTTCATCCAGGGTTCCTGGCTCATATCACCCTCTGGCCTTCTGTCCTCCTTTCACCTGCTCCCTTTTCTCCCCGAGGAAGGAATTCTCTGACCTGTCTTAGACACCCATTTCAAAAGGTGCCCTGCCCCGTGCCCAGGAGGAAGGAGAGAGGCCAAGAGAATCTGAACAAACAGGCCTCACTCAGTTTCCCCACCAAGTTTGTTAGTATTAGGTCAAACCCTTTATCAAGTCACATTTCCACATGGTTGTCTGTGTTTCAGTCATGCCTACATAACGAAGTTTCCATAAAAACTCAAGAGCACAGGCTTTGGAGAGCTTCTGGATAGCTGAACATGTGGAGGTTCCTGGAGGGTGGCACACCTGGGAAGGGCATGGAAGCTCCTTGTCCTTAGGGACTGAGCCCTCACCTTGCTAGAGAATTGCCTGTTTGCTGGTGGGGAGAGACACCCACATATTTGGTCATAGATTTATTTTCTGATTATGACTGTTATCAAATAAGAATGCAGAAGAAAAATACTTCAGGGTGTGTGTGTGTGTGTGTGCGCGCGCGCGCGCGCGCGCGTGTTTTCCTAAACAGTAACCAAGTCAGCCGTGGTGAGTAATAGCCCACCCTACTGAGTTTAATTGTTGCCTCCATACTTAACACCATGGCTTCTATTTTCTTTGATGAGCCCTTTAATCCTTTAAGCAAGAACTGAACTAACCAAGGAAGGAGAGGGGCTACCATATCAAGAATGGGTCCCTCTCAGAGGGGCAATTATTCTCAGGAGTCCTATCCTGGCTGGCATTGGCATACTACAGTATCTGTAAAAATAATGTCTTTCCCTGATAAAATGATTATTTTTCCAGATAAAGTCCAGGTTTGAGTGGGTGGCAAAGAGCTGGACTGTAGCATGAAGGGCTCTACCATTGAGTCCTAATTACTGCAAAGATCCAGTTTAGTCTGAAAGACCTAGAGCAGATTGGAGTGTTTTATGGAATCAGTGGAAAGCTCAACAGAGGAGTCTCATCTGGGGCTCATGTTGTTCCCTTCAAGATGTTGCAGCATTTCAGCAAACTCTTACAGAGAGGTGGGACACTGAGGCTTCTATGGGAAGCAGAGTTTATTGATAGGCCGGCCTTGGCCCAGCAGATGAATGTCACAAAGGCTGAGTGCCCAAATGCAGCGGGTCTGTCTCTTATATTGTTACATTTCCAGGTTTTACAACAGGGTTGAGGATGCTTTATCTTAGGGTGGAAAATTACAGCAAGAAAAAAAGCAGAAGAGAAATTTTGTTTCAATAGTGTGTGGTAACCACAGAGTGAGACAAGGGGGTTGGGCGGTTGCAGCTGCAGAGGGGTGGTAGCTGTAGCTGGTTCTGCAAGATACCTGGTTTGATATCTGCAAGATGGCTGGACAAGTGAGTGCCTCAAAGAGACAGGTCTTGATTTGCTACTAGCCTATGTTGGAGATTCGGTACCAGACCACAGAATCTGAACTAGCTGCTACATACAGTTCTACTTAATAGAAAGCTGTATGAATCCAGCAGTGTTCCATAATTAGGTGAAAGAAATTCATCTGGAACCAGGCAACTACAGGCTCTGAGGGTACAACTCATTCTGCCCGTGCCTACCACCAGACTGCTGTCCCTCCCTTAATGAACTACTAACTTCATAATGGTCCCCATGACCTGGAAGTTTTTCTGGTTCACTGATGTGTGGACTGTAACAAGACTATTTGGCTTATGTTGTACAGGCATACTTCTGAGATATTGCAGTTTGGTTCCAGACCACCGCAATAAAGTGAATATTGCAATAAAGCAAGTTGCATTAATTTTTTGGTTTCTCAGTGCATATAAAAGTTATGTTTACACTATATTGTACCCTATTAAGTGTACAATAAATAGCATTATGTCCAAAAATTTATATACCTTAATTAAAAAATACTTTATTGCTAAAAAGCGTTAGAAAAATGGTGCCAATAGACTTGCTCAATGCAAGGTTGCCACAAACCTTCAACTCATAAAAGACACAGTATCTGTTAAGCACAATAAAGCAAAGCATAATAAAAAGAGCTATGCCTATATTTAAGAAGGATTGTATCCACTTCTTAGTGTTAGAGAGTACAAGGAGTAACAACTTATTCTTCAATATGCCCCCTACCACTGAGCGTACCAGAACTTCACTAGAATGGCAGTGCCCAGTGTTGTCTTTGGATTTGATTCAGCCTAGAACGTGTTAACAAGGCAAGTAGAAATAACTACAGATGGTCCCTGACTTAAGATGCTTTGCCTTATTGTTTTTTGATTTTGCAATGGGTTTATTGGTGTATTAAATGCATTTTCAACTTACTATACGTTCAACTAACAGTGGGTTTATTGGGACATCACCCCAGAGTTAGTCAAGAAGCATCTCCAGTTTGGGTTTGTTGTCTGCCAGGCTTTAGTCAGGAAACACCCATGAGACATGGTTTAACAGAGGGAATTTAACATGGGATACTAGCAACAAAGGTGTTGGAAAAGGTGAGAAGAACAGGGAGGCAACTCAGATTAGCAACTGAGAAAAGCAGCTACTAACCCTAGGGCCTGAGGACCAAAGGGAGGAGGTGATATATCACAGCCCAGGAGCCAGGGCCACCTTGAGAAGCTAGACTGATACACAGGGACTTTCCTCGCAAAGCTGGGACAATAAGAAGGGGTGTGTGGAGGGAGGTGAGTGAGAGGAGATGTAACCATTACCAGCATCACCACCTGGCAGTAAGAGTGGAAGGAAAATACTCTGGCTTATTCCCGACTCTCACCCTCTGTCTTCTGCTAGTGCCTCCCACTGAGTGATCCTAACAGGAAACCAGTAGGCAAAGAACTCTGGGAAATGCAATCTGCAGAGGTTAAATTCCTCAACATAGTGCACAGTGGGGGGAAGGCAGAGCATGATTTTAGAGCAAACAGGCAGAGGACTGGCACGTGATCCTACAGAGCCTACTGTGAGCTAGACTTGGGCAAGAGTCACTCCATAACCCTCTGAAATGAATGTAATAAGTTATGTTCCCTGGAGTTATTCCAAAAATACTCTTTGCCTCTTTTTACTATAGTTATCTTGGCTGCAACTTTTTTTTTAATCATAGGAAGAAAGGTCACAGTAGTGTTATAAGGTTATTCCTTGGGGGTACCCAGATGCCTCCCATACACTCAGGTCTGGAAACTGGGTGAAAGGTAATTTCTATCTTATGACAACTGACCTGAAGCCTCTGTGACAAGACCTGAAGTGTTTTCGGATAAACAGCAACAAAGTAAAACCTCAATTTCATTTCCAGAGATTTACTAGCAATCACTGACTGACATCTCTTCCTGTCAAATGATCAGTGTTATGCTGGTAGTTTTAACATCCAAGGGAAGGACACATGCATGTCTTTTAGGAGTTTAGTATAAATTTTACTGATAAGATGTATATAATTATACATATATTAAATACATATGCATATATTTATATACATACATCAGTTTAACAACCAGTTCACAAAATTCCTGAAAATATAACAATCACCTCTTGCAAGCCAATATTAGCCTGCCCAAGCACACCACTGGATGGATGACTTCGCTTTTGGTGAATTGCTTCTACCTGGGCTCAGCTTCCCTGGGCTCCTGCATTTGCGACAGAGCTCAGGAATCCCTTTCCAAAAGCAGTCCTCCTCCCAGTATGCCCAGCACCCTGAGGATGATGAGTACCCTTTCTAGAGCTAATGATACTTTTCCCTCATGACACAAGTTTAAGGAAAGGCTTTTTGGCCCTGACTCAGAAAGACTAATAACAGGATAAGTGAGATACTCAGATACAAGGGAGCAAATTTAGCACCCCAAATTCTTTCCAAGTCCTTCCTATATATGAGGCAAGATAATTTCTGGGTTTTCGATGTCATTTTGTATGGGCTAGGACTTGCATTCACCTACCCAGAAAATTATAAGAGAAGCAATAAGCTTCATGAATTAGCATGTCAAATACATAATTCCCGACGTGTATACCTGTAAATAAATTCAGCCCAATTCAGAATTTTGTTCAAACTTCCAAGGTCAAGCACTGTCAAAACCCACTCCTACAACCATTTTCTAGATTCTGATATTATTTAGGAGTCTTTCATCCCTTCCCTAGTGCCTTTTCTTATGCCAAACTCTAGATCACTTTAAAATCAGATTATTTTCTTTCCTTTTTTTTCGGTTTATCCAGTGAAACCATAATATGAAGGATTGTCAAAAAGTTCATGAAAAGATTGTATTATCTTTTAATTACATTTTTCCATGAACTTTTTTTTTTTCCCCCTTTTTTTGTCTTTTTTCGTGACCGGTAACGGGATCGCAACCCTCGGTGTTGCGCCCGCACCACACTCAACCAGTGAGCGGACCGGTCTCTATATGGGATCTGAACCCTCGGCGGGAGCGCCGCCACACTCCCAAGCGCCGCACTCTACTGAGTGCGCCACCGGGCCAGCCCTTCCATGAACTTTTTGAACTACCCTTGTATTGGTGGGCTAAAGGGGAAATTGGTTAACTATTCCTGAATGTTTGAGACAAAGGCAAAGTAGTTGGTATGGTTTCTTAAGGTTTTTTAGGGCTTTACAGTTTTAAAATTCCCAAAATTCGCCCACAGATTCTCATTTCAATAACCAGGATATAGACCATTCCTAATTAATGTGAAACATTTTACTTAAGAAACCTGCTGAAGTTGTGAATTCAATTAGCATTGTGGCTTAGCAATCCACAGGCCCATTCTTTGGTATTTAGCAATACAGCCCTACAGTCACAAACAAGAAGAGATTCTTTCAATTATGTTACAAAAATAGCTTGTGTTCCATTCCAAACCTTAAAGCAAAAGTTCTTTCTCTTCCTTATACTACCCAATTCTATTATGAACAGGCATCACATACTCCCCTTCAACTAGCATTTCTCATCCACTTTCAATTGGGCTAAGGCCACAGCAATCTAGACCAGAGCTGATTTGCTGTTTTACTGTTGCTATCAAGGCATGATACTTTCACGGCACAAAATATAATTAGGAGCCTTGCAATCTTTTGCTCCATCTTACCCAACAACCAAACTTTAAAAAAATCCACACTTCTTGAGGATCACTTGCCTGAAAAACACTCAATGTTGCCAATTTCTGTATTGATTAGGTTTCTTGGTTGAGAACAAAAGAACTTAATCTAACTTTAAAATGAAATCAAAATACCGGTGGGACACATCCTGGTAGGAACATGAATCAGGTCAGCTCTAAGTAGCAAAGCAGCAGGAACTTACATACCATCATTAAACTGTGGCCAAAGGATGACTCATATTCAACTCTATCCTGTGTCTCAAGAAGGATAGAATATCTAATTGGATTAAAATGAACCGTGTATAACCAGCAACACAAAACCTTATGGGATAACATAAGAGCAGCTCACCCACAGAAGTCTAGGGAAGGAGTTTTGTGTGCCTATTCGTGTGTATATGGTTTCTATTTGTATTTTAAACAGAAACAACAAATAGCTGACACATTCATATGTGTTTATAATTTTAATTTTATAAAGTTTATGTAGTTATAACTATTTGAACATATTACATAGACATGAAAATAACATTTTCAATTCATAATCTGCAAGACTTATTTTGAGTATATAGAGATCCACCTCGTTCTTTTCAGACTGCATTGTAACCTACTGAACTGATTTCCTATAATTTAAGTAATCAATTTACTAGACAAACTGTTCCAAATTTTTCACAATTCTATAATAAATGTGTTTACGCATCTATACTTCTGCACTTGCGCTTTTCAAGGAGATAAATTGCTAGTGTAGAATTGTGGCAAAGGGTGATTACATTCAAAATGTTGACAGGTAATGTCATGTTGCCCCTAAAATGGTTTTCTTCTAATTTACCTTCCCAATATATGAAAATGTGGTTTCTCACATCTGCACAGTACTGGATATCATCCAACCTTATGTTCTCGTAAAATTTCTGTTGGTTTGTGTTGGTAATGGTGAGGACTTTTAAAATTTGCACTTATCTAATCATTAGTGAGGCTGATAACTTCTTTTATTTCACTTGACTGTTTTAATTTCTTTATCCAAGAGCTGCTTGTTGATGTGCTTTGCCAGGCTGTATATCTTATCATTGCTGCTTTCCACAGACTTTTTATAAAGGCTATATCCTTTGTAATGTACGTTTAAAATACCTCAGCCTGTCATATGCCACTTAACTTTGCATAGAGTGTCCTATATCATGGAAAAGGTTTAAATCTTGTACATGGCCCTAAGTCATTTTCTCTTCATGGATTCTGTAATCCGTGTCCTGCTTTACTAAAGCCTTCCTGAACCTAAAGGCATAGACATATTCTAAATTCTCCTCTACAATCTTAATACTGTTTTCTATAACATCTTTAATCCAAATTAAATAAAATTCTCTGTAAGTGGTAAAATGTGGAGCTGACTTTATTTCCAGTTGGATAACTGTCAAAGGCTATTTAAATAATCCATCTCTCCCATCGCAACACCAAAAATACCACTTTTACAATATATGAAATTCACAGGTACATGACCTTTTAAAAAAATTTCCTTGAGATACTTGCCCAGTTACCACTCTACATGACTTTTAAAACAAAACTGTCAACGGAAAAATATCCTACAGGGATTATGACTAGAATTTAGTAAACGTACAGACACCTTTACAGCACTGAAATGTCCATCTAGGAACATGTATGGATCTCCATTTATTCAGAATTTCCATTCTCTGTCAACTGAGGTTAATACTTTCCTTTTATATATAACCATGAGTAAATTCAACTATAATTTCATTTCTTCCCTCAGTTTGATATCAGAGTTGACTTAGGTTTATGAAAGAAATGGAACATTTAAAATCTTTTTTTCTATTCTCTAGAACAGCTTAATTAGTAGATCCTTGGAAGTACATAATTATCCTATAAACCCAGGTGTTATGGGTTGAATGTGTCCCCCAAAGTTTCATGTATTGGAAATTTAATCCCCACTGTGACAGTGTTAAGAGAGTGGGAAATCCTGTTATGGTAATTGAAAGGTGAGGCCTTTAAGAGGTGATTAGATCATGAGGACTGTACCCTTGTGAACAGATCAGTCCGTTCATGCGGTAAAGGGTGTGGTTCTGATGGCTTTATAACAAGAGCTTTTGAGCAGGTTAAGTCTCTCTTACTCAGCCATTCACCATGTGACACCCTGCACAGCTGCAGAGCCACCATCAAAAAGGCTCTCACCAGATGTGTTCCCTGGACTTTGGACTTCCCAGCCCCCAAATTGTAAGAAATAAATTTTGTTTTCTTACAAATTACCCAGTTTCAGGTATTCTGTTATAATCAACAGAAAATGAACTAATCCACCATGCTAGAATTAATCTGTGCAGGCTAGACTACGTATGTTCTCTATTTCTTCAGCTAAACACTAATAAATTTTTTGCCTAGACAAAATGGCTTGGCATATATTCTTCCCACCAAATTCTTTTCTTCCAGTCTTATCCAGCATTCTAGTCACTTCTTAAAACATGTTCTATGTCTCAGGTTACATTTAATTTTCACACCAACAAGGGAATACAGACCGAGTCATGAGAAAGCTACTGTATTATTGTCATAACATTAAACATACTACACATGCTAATCATTATCCACCTTAAGATAGTTTTGGTTCCAAAACTGTTATGATCACCTAATATGGAAAAACTCGTCCTCAGAGTTCATTGTTTGAAAATAATTTATGTACTCTGAAGAATACTGATCTATCACTTACCAAGCACTCAGTATGGGGCAGTCATCACACTAAGCACTTTACATTCATCAAGCAATTTAAAATTTCATAACAAGCGTTTTAAGAGGAGAGCAATATAATTATATTTAAATTTTAAAAATATCACTGTGGCTGTAATGTGAAGAATGAACTCAAAGGAGACAAGAGAGAATGCAGGAGACAAGTTTTGGGCAATTTTAACAGTCTAGGTGAAGCAATTGTGTTTTGGACTAGGGCAATAGGGACCAAAAGAAGTGGAAGAATTCTAAAAATATTTACCAGATATGTCCACAGAACTCAGAGACAGAGGGTGAGGAGGAGCTGGATGTCTGAGCTGATAAGCAAGGTAGGCACTTTGAAGACTTTTTCACATTCCTTACATTCATAAGATCTCTCCCCAGTATGAATTTGTATTAGTCCATTTCTGTTGCTTATAACAGAATACCTGAAACTGGGTAATTTACAAAGAAACAATGTTTATCACTTAGAGTTGTGGAGGCTGGGAAGTCCACACTCCAGGGAACACATCAGGAGAGGGTCTTGGTTCGTGGTGGTAGCTCTACAGAGACATAGGGTATCACACGGTATGAATGAGAAAGCTAACCTGCTCCTCACTCTCCTTATAAAGCCATCAGAACCACATCCATTACCACCAATGAAACTATCAATTTATTATTCATGAATGGATCAATCCACTCACTAGGGCATGGTCCTTACAATCTAATCACCTCTTTAAAGGCCCATCTTTCAATGACCATAATAGGATTTCCCACCCTTTTAACACTCTCACAAAGGGGATTAAGTTCCTAATACATAAAATTTGGGGGGACACAAGTCAATCCATAGCAGAATTCTTCCATGTAGACTAAGGTGTCTGTTTTAATTTAGGATCTTTAAGATGGAAAGCACCCCTCAAAAGAGACACAAGATAGAAATAAAAATTTTATTACTTACAGGTTCTGGGGTGTACACAGCACACCTGGAGGCCACACACAGAGATCAGGGAGTGGAGGCAGGGAGAGAAAGGCACACATGGGCTAACACCTTTATTGGCCCTGGCTCTAGGGCATTATCCAAACAGGCTAACCAAAGGGAGTTTTAACTGGTTGGCTTAATGCAAACAGGCATGAGTTGAGGGGACGATGGCATATCTGCACAGTCCCTGTGGGGTGTGAGGGTCAGTGTGGCCAGTCAAGCAGGCTGCATCTAGCTGTCCCACAGGAAAGTGGTAACCAGGGAGCAGTTAGCAGTTGTATAAGGCAGATATCTGGACCAACCGCACTGAGGAGTGGGGGCAAAGGGGAGTAGACTAGCAACTGTGTCAAGCGGGACTGAACGCTGTTTCTGGTATGACAAAGTCCAACGTATATTTAAAACAGATGCCAAGGCAACCTAAAATTATGAGAATTCACTACAGTGTTCAATCTGGCTGAAGGCTTCCCTATAGTCCTTATGTTCATATGATTTTTCTCCAGAGAAGTCTCTGATGAACAGTAAGGGACTGACAATAGCTAAAGGCTTTGCCATATACTACATTCTTAAGGTTTCACTCCAGTATGACATCTTTGATGATAAATAAAGGATGACTTTCTTGTGAATGCCTTCCCACATTCAAAGCATTCATAGGGCCTCCGGCCACTGTGAAGTCTCTGATGCTGAGCACAGGATGAGCTATCACTAAAAGCCTTTCCACATTCCATACATTTATAGGGTTTCTCTCCAGTATGAATTCTGTGATGTTGAATAAGATGGGAGGCCTGGCTGAAGGCTTTACCACAATCCTTGCACTCATAAGGTTTCTCTCCTGTATGAATTTTCTGATGTTGGGCAAGGTGTGCCCTCTGTTTGAAAGCTTTACCACATTCTTCACATTCATAAGGCTTTTCTCCAGTATGAATTCTCTGATGAGTAGCCAGCTGTGAACTGATGCTAAAAGCTTTTCCACATTCCTTACATTCATAGGGTTTTTCACCAGTATGAATTCTCAAATGACTAGCAAGGTGTATACTCTGCCTAAAGGCTTTCCCACATTTCTTACATTTGTAAGGTTTCTCTCCAGAATGTACTCTTTGATGTTGAGTGAGTGACGCATGATGGCTAAATGCTTTTCCACAAACATCACATTCATAAGGTTTCTCACCAGTGTGAATTCTCTGATGTACAGTCAGGGATGAGCCCTGGCTAAAAGCCTTCCCGCACACATTACATTTGTAGGGTTTTTCTCCAGTATGAATTCTCCTATGCTGAATAAGCCCTATGTGATCAGTGAAGGCTTTCCCACAATCGATACAACCAAAAGGTTTCTCTCTGGTATGATAATACCTCCAGTGACGAATAAGGGATGGGTTATGCCTGAAGGTTTTTCCACACTCAATACATTCATAGGGTCTTTTGTCAGTGTGACATCTCTGATGTCGAGCACAGGATGAGCTATCACTGAAGGTTTTGCCACATTCCTTACATTCATAGGGTTTCTCTCCAGTATGAATTCTCTGATGCTGAGCAAGGTGTGCAGGCTGGCTGAAGGCTTTCCTACATTCCATACATTTATATGGTTTTTCTCCAGTATGAATTCTTTGATGTTGAATAAGGTGTACATTTTGCTTGAAGGATTTCTTACATTCTTTACATTCAAAGAGTTTCTCTCCGGTATGTATTTTGTGATGTTGAGCAAGGTGTTGCCTCTGCTTGAAGGCTTTTCCACATTCCTTACATTCATAAGGTTTTTCACCAGTATGAATTCTCTGATGAACAGTACGAGATGAACTATGGGTGAAGGTTTTCTCACATTCATTACATTTAAAAAGTTTCTTTCCTACACAGACTTTCTTGTGTTTTACCACCATGAAATTTTTGGAGTTTTCTTTATCTGACTTGTGATTATAAACACTCTCTTCTACATTGTCCGAATGAACTAATTTCTCAGATTTAGTACATCTGTAGTCTATTTCCTTAGTGAGGGTTGCTTTATGAGTGATTGTTCCTTGCCTGGTAAATGTCTCTTGACTGACCATGTGCCTCTCATAAAATTCTTCATATTTCCAATTTTCTCTGAAAGTGGAACACTCAAGTCCATAGCATGTAATTCTCTCCATTAATGCATCATCATACATGAACTGCTTCAGAAATAATTCTTGTGTCTCATATATAGATTCCCAATCTGAAAGATATCAAAAAAGCAAATGTTTCCTTTATCATAGGCTATAACAAAGAAAATATTTAAAGTGAAAAACGTGACTCAAAAGCATTTAATGAATCCCACAAAACCTATTATGTACAGGCATGTCTAATGAAAAATATGCAATGAGACCCAGAAAACAAGAGCTCATAAAGGATTATGGAAAATGTGATTAAGAAAACTAAACATAAGATAATGAGGTCCTAGAGAAATCATCAGCAATGGCAATAATATTTTATACCTCTATAAATTAAGCTCCTTTCCTCTGATCTCTCCCACTAATAACTGATTTTCGTATACAGCTAGGTTAACTTTGTTAATACCAATGTCATTATAGCTAAAAATTTGTAGAGATCCCCAATAACCACATATCTTATGCTTTGTGACTTCCCTTAAGATTTAGGTAAAATTCTAGGATTATCTTTTCATAATCAGAAAATAAATGTTCCCATGAACCATCCTCTGTATGTTTCAATACAGTGAACTCTTCACTTCATGCAGTTCTTTGAACTTCAGGCTGCACATTACAGTATTTTTCTATCAGTCTTCTTAATGTCAGCAGCCTAGCAAAAGTGCCACTTCTCAGGCTACTTCTCAATGGGATTTTGCTTTTCCTTTTTTGAAGATATTGGTTTTATAACAATATGAAGGTTGGTATCACTATTACTAATCACGTTCTTATATACTACCTGATGAGTTCTTTTCTTACCTCATGAGCTAGAGGTAAGCTTTGGAGAAGGAATGAATGTGATTTAAACATTGCTGCTTAAGTCACTTAACATATATAGGGGAAACCTGGCATATATAAGAAGTTGTCAATAAAATAATAAAGAAGAAATTTGTATGAAAAAGGTAATACTGGGAGAAAATCTTAGGGAAAGGGTGATATCAACAAAGAACAAAGAAGAAAGTGCTTTCCTTTCCTATCTTGTCCATAGCAAAGTATTGACTAATCTAATTTTTCCTAAGCAATTATCTAGTATGTGTCAAGCATTAGGGACAACAAAAGTTCATGAGAAGTTTAGAAAGTCATTATGAAGACAACACCAATAAATAAAGTAATTTGAAAAGAAAACATGAAACACAATCAAGTGTGAGCCCATGTAGTAAAAAGTAAAATTTCTATAGAAGTTCAGAAATGGGAAAGATGAAATCTACTAGAGCAGTTAAGAAAGGTTTTGACAGGTCCAATTTCTTCCATGATGTGCAATTTCTTTCACTCTGTACCTGAGGGTTATGCCTAACATATGGCAAAGGGGGAATAAAAAATCTTGAGTTAAAAAAAAAAAAAAAAAGGCTTTGAGGCATTAACTAGCTTCCTTTTTTTTTTTTTTTGTCCTTTTTGAGACTGGCCGCACCGCACTCAGCCAGTGAGCACTGTGAGCGCACCGGTCATCCCTATATAGGATCCGAACCCGCGGTCATTCCTGATGTCAGGAATACCCAGTTTCTTGGTCACTTTGGGGTGCTATACCAAAATACCATAAACTGGGTAGCTTATAAACAACAGAAATTTATTTCTCACAGTCTGGAAGCTAAAAGTCCAAGATCAAGGCATTGGCAGGTTTGGTGTCTGGTGAGGGCCCACTTTCTCATAAATGGCAACTTCTTGCCATGTCTTCACATGGTGAAAGGGGCAAGGCAGCTCCTTCAGGCCTAATCCCATTCATGAGCCCACTTGACCTAATCACCTCCCAAAAGCCCCATCTATCAACAGCATCACCTGGGGGTGAGAATTTCAACATATGAATGTGGAAGGGACATAAACATTCAGACCATAGCACCCAGCTTTTGATAACTGTAGAACTGAAGCAACTGGAAGTCAATTAACCAATCACCTATAGTTTTTCTTATCAATTAACCAATCACCTATAGTTTTTCTTACATAGACCAAAGGGAGCAATCTAGACAGAGAAGCAAAAAGCTGAGTTCATGATCTACTCCTCTCTCAAATTTACCTTCTTGTCACATGAAAATAGTCTTCAACTCCAATCTCCTATGGAGAGCCATGGCTGTCTCTTATCTTTTGCTTTTCTTAACAAAAACACTGAGATATTTTACTCACTCATTAATACTTAAATCTACACTCAATGTCCCATCAGGTTTACAGCTTAATCTCTTTTCCTGCCTCCATCTTTTCTTCACAGGGCCAATTATTACCTCTTATCAGGGAAGTTCTGCTTTCTGTTTCCCTATTTAAGGGAGATAATAGCTTCCTACATAATCAAAATATAATGTGCATCATAGTAGGGTTTATTTCTCTTCTAATATTTGGGTATTTGGTGGGCCTTAGAAGTCTCGGGTCAAATTATTCCAAAATGTAAAGATCAAATACTGTTACAGAAGTGAAAGAAGAATAAATAAGTTAACTATAGATTCTCCTTAGTGCTGCAAAGAAAATAAATGACGGCTTGGTAGACAGTTTTCGGGTTGAGGTAAGGAAATGCTCATTATATTAAGGTGATTACAAAAGGCCTCTAATGAGATGACTTTTTAGGTCTGGCTTGATAGTCAAGTCTGATAGAGCCAAAAGGGGAGCATTCTGCATATTGAAATCAGGAAATGCAAAAGCCTGAATCAGTAAAAAGCTTGGTGAGTTCAGAAAAGGTGACCCACTGACTAAAGCAGTGCTTCTCAAGTGTATTATCAGGTACTCATTGAAACTGACATTTGTAAGACATATGGGGGCAAAAGAATGATACTGCCTGTGACTGACAGGCAATCAGACTTAGAACTCAAACTGCCTCTGGCCTCATATGGTCTCCCAAGGCTGAAAGATTCTGTATCTTGGCATACTTGTAACTCACTTGAGGCATACTTGGGTACCCCACATAGTCTGAAACTCTGGATTAAAGTATAGTGAAAAAGCTAAAAAGTAATAGAGAAGTAGGAAGGAGCTGATCATATAGGGGCTAGTAGGGTTTGGAGTTTTCCTATTTGTAACAGGAAAGCAAAGAAAGTTTTAAAGCAGCGGGGTACATTATGATTTGCAAGGGGCACCTAATTCGAGAGTTAAGAGAAGATATACAAGCTTCTCTGTTTTTTTAAAGTCTGTATGGCAAAAGGAAAGAGGTGATAGGAAGGAGTGGAATAAAGATTTTTGCAAAACAAGTTACTAGAGAGAAGAGAGTTAAGTAGAAGATATTTGGAGAGCCCAAGCAAAGTGGTACAGTTTCAGTTTTCTCCCCAGGCCTGTGAAGCTTAAGAAGAGTTTCTGAGAAGCCTAAGGAGGTTCTCCCACACTCACCTGGGAATGGACCTCTCGTCATTTCATTCTTCATATCCCAAGGCTCTTTCCCTTGCTCCAATAAGGAGATCACATATGGCTTAGAAGCGCAAAGTCCTGCATATAAAAAAAATATGAAAATTTGTCATGTTTCAGGTTATATTCAAATTACCAGCCAGTTCCTCAATTCTGATGGAATGATAGACAAACAGGTAAAGCACATTTGAAGAGCAGACTACATAAGTGTCTGAGACTTCATGGGACCGCAACCAGTCAACTCTATAAAAGTTAAACTACTTTCTAAAGGGCTAAAGGGCAGAAATTCAGCCCAGCATTTTTGGAGGATCATCAGATAGTAGTAAACAGAGTATTTTTTTTTCCTTTCTGTCTTTTTTTACTGACCGGTAACGGGATCGCAACCCTCGGTGTCACGCCCATACCGGGGACCGGCAACGGGATCGCAACCCTCGGTGTTGCACCCACACTGCGCTCAGCCAGTGAGCGGGAACCGGTCTCCACATGGGATCTGAACCCTCTGCGGGAGCACCGCCGCGCTCCCAAGCGGCACACTTCTCCAGTGCGCCACCGGGCCGGCCCAATAAACAGAGTATTTTAAAGAGCCCTAGAGACAGAGTTTAGAGTTGAACCAACTAAACTGCCTGCTTAAGAAAAAAAAAACCAATACTCTTCAGAGGAATATGACAGAATCCAGACTCTTTACAATGTTTTATTTACAGTATCCATTATAAAATCTAAGATTATTAGACATAAAAGAGAAAAAAGTAAATCATACTCAGAAGAAAAGGCAATAAATGTAGACTCCCCCTGCAATAATAAAGATGTTAGAATTAGGAGACAAGGATTTTTAAATAGCTATTATATATATATATATAGATACAGAAATGAAAATATTAGAAATCTAATACAATAAAAAGTGAATATAAATTAGCCAACTCCATGGAAAATTCCAGTTAAACATTCATACAAATACATATTCACCTTTTTCTTTATATAGGGATAACATATACATAACATACATCACATATATATATATATATATATATATACATACATACATACACACACACACCCAAGAATGTAAAGGAAATATGCTTGTAATGAATGTTTAAACGGAAATCTCAGCTGAGAAACAGAAACTATAAGAATTCTGGAAACTCTAGAATTGAAAAATACAATATCTGAAATTTAAAAATTCATTAGAATGGGCTTAACAAAACATTAAAAGAAGGACAGAGTCAGTGAACTTAAAGTTGAATCCACAGGAATTATCTGATCTGAAAAGCATAAGAAAAAAGATTTTAAAAAGTAAACAGATCCTCAGTTACCTATGGCACAATATCAGGAAATCTAATATTGTGTAACTGAAGTCCCAAAAGCAGAAGAGAGAGAGCATAAAAAAATACTTGAAGAAATAATGGCCAAAAATGTCTCAAAATTGGTGAAATGCATAAATTCACTTTCAAGATCAACAAACAACAAGCAGGATAAAATGGACCTCTCAAGAACAGAAACCTAGTCTAGCCAATGAGGTGGTGCTAGGGCTTAGAAGAAGGGTCCGTGTTAGTTTCCCTAAAAGCGAGCATCTGAAGCCATTTTCATAGTTTGTGTTATACTGCTTCACTTATTGCAAGTTAATTAAAAGATACTGATTTTTAAAAGCAATATTATGAATTTATAATAATCTAGCTATATTCCTGATGAAACTTGTTACTGCCTACTGGTGATAACAATACTGTAGGACAGAGAGAACAAGGATGCACAGGATAACTGTGAATTTCAGATCATGTCCTTTATTCCAAATTGCCTAAAGAGCACAGCAATGGAATATTTGATAAATTCACTAACTATAAATATGAAATTTTCATCAGTCCCTGAATATCCTCATCTCCCAGATTCCCTTCTGACCTACACACAATAAAAAGTTTTAATAATAAACTAAAATGTGAAGGGTCTTTAAGGATAGATTCTGAATTATGCAGGGAGATAAAGATCCTCACCCAGTGATACCAGGCTCCGATAGTTCTCCAACATCATATTCCTGTATAAATGCCTCTGAGAAGGGTTCAGCCATTCCCATTCCTCCTGGGAAAAGTCTATTGCCACATCCTTGAATGTCACCAAATCCTGAAATGACACATATACACTCTTGACCAAACAATGCTCATGAACACACATGATTCCAAGCTGAAGTGCTAAGTTGTCTGTACTTTATGTGAGAAATAGCCCATGAGGGAGAAAATACTTAAACATATAATATTAAGTTCCAATCCAAAATAGTACTTACTGAAGTGTTAAGCTGTGTTGTATGCAATCACACTACTAATTCATTTCTCAGCATGGAGAAATATGGGGCCACAAGGCAGTAAATAAGGGCTTCAAAGAAGGACACACGCCTGTGGTTGAATTGTCAAAAACATAACAAAAAAAGAATATCTAAATTGATTTTTTTAAATAGTGCTCTATGGGACCCTGGAGTTTTTGGGGTTTTTTTTTTTTTTGGGGGGGGTGCTGGCATTGAACTGATGTGACTGATTGTTTTTTCTTAAATAATAAATGTGATAAATATATTTAGAATACAATATAAATATACCCAGTATAAGAATGCAACACATCCAACTTGCATAATGCATTTGAGTACAACTCATTATATACTTGAGTATAAACAAAATAAAATTGAATAATTATAACTTTTAGTTTCCTAAAGATTTACGTAAGCTGAGAAAAATTAATGTCTGGTTATAATCATCAACAGGTTGTAAGAAATTTTAAAAAGTATTCTGGGCACTTTTCATCTTCAGCTTTATTTGCTTTGAAAAAAAAATCTTAATCTCGGTGCCTGATTTGCGAAGATACCAAAAATATTGATAACTAACTATATAAAGACAAAGCTATGTACACAACATCTTAATGTGCTTTTAAACAGTAATCTTTAGAACAAAGGCATAATACAAAGATATTCAATGTATGGGACCTTCAGAAGATGTATACACCTTTAGAAAAATGTTTATATATATGTATTTATATATGTATTTTTTCCCCAAAATCAATAGGTCTTTTATTCCATCATTAAAATTTACAAGCATGTCTTAGGAATTACCCTGTAGTTTGTTTCTGCAGGTGGACAACTCTTAGATCTTACTCATCAGACTGCTAAACTGTTCCTTTTTCAGAGACATAGATACCAAATCCAAAGTTTCTTATATCCTTGTTTTTAACTGTTGTGGCTTGCTGGATCAAAAGCAGCTGAATTTGAAACAAGTTCAATGTCATTTCCTTCAAGGATTAACTCATCTTTCTGGGTTTGAGATAGTGAACAAGCAACACCTGGCCTCATTCAAACCCTGTGAATGTATTTTTCACCCAAGAAATTTCAGATTTCAACAAGAGACATTCTCCCGAATACTGACATCGATGGGGCAGTAAGCACAGAGACCTCATCTTTTAATGGAAGCCCAGTGTAACACCCTTGATCATGTTCTGTACATGACTACAGACAGTGCGAACAGCAGCCAGTGCCTTTCTATTTCCCCACCATTTGTCAACTAACCAGGAGACTCTTTTCTTTCTCTTTCCAAGGAGACTGAGCTCTACATTGATGTGATTGAAGTCCTTCTGCAGGGTTCCTCTGGGGTCCTTCACTATAACTGTGCATCCCTTCAGAGTGATGTTCACATTTTCTGGAATGACAATAGTCTGATTGCTGAGGATGGTCTTTGTTCTTGCAGTAGGTGTGTCAAAGAGAGTTTTTTTTCTTTTCTTTTTTTTTTTTTTTTTTGGTGGCTGGCTGGTATGGGGATCTGAACCCTTGACATTGGTGTTATAAGGCTGCACTCTAACCAACTGAGCTAACTGGCCGGCCCTACTATTTTTCATATAAAGATACTATAAGACTTTTAATGCTTCACTGTGAATGACTGGTTTTCCTGAATTCTAGCTTTCACCTTCTAGTTAGTCGATCACTAATGATGGCTGAGAACCATCATTTCACACATTTTTATAAAATTAAATGAGATGAATTTATCAATGCAAGCAAAGGGTGATCACATTCTTTCAAATATTTGCTGCAATTTGGTCACTGTTAAAGAATTAGGTATTTTGACTGTTCTCACAGAAAAATAAATTTGATTGCTTTTGATCCTGGTATTCATGGTTAATAATTTGGTATTTAAACTACCAGACTTTCCCCAATGTTTATATGAATATCTTTACATGCACGTACATGTATACATGTATATCCAGTGACTTTTTTTCCTGATAATCCTATACTCAATCAGGTAAATTCAAATCAACAACATTTTAAAAGCTTATAATTCCTTTTTTAAGAAGAAAAGCATTTATTTAAAGGTACTAGGCAACTTTTGTGATTTCCAGGACTAGGCAACTAGGTTTGAATGCTACACAATCAGAAGAAAAGCCCAGTTATATCAAGATGTTTTCTCAAAAATCCCGTCTCCTGTATCACTCATAGCTAATCTGACCAGTAGATCTTCAGCCAGAATTTCCCCATAAGAACCAAACTCCTCCACCAATATGCTAGCCATAAAACCCTATTTCTCTGCACATCGCCTCTGGTTCTACATCTTTTATTGGGAGTTTCTGCTTTGGGTAATATCAATCATATAGAGAACCCTATTTGCAAATGCAGTTTTTAGCTTTCCAGTGTGTCACAGTACACAGAAAGGGAGTTGAAGTGAGTACTAAATGTGAGAATCTTCAATATCAGCAACGGTATGCATCCTCAGCCGGCTAAGAAGGTAATCCAAAATTTAACTGTGGAGAACTCCAAAATTGATTGATGTAACAATTATTTCATGAGTAAACATATTTAATCTTGGATATATATAGAAATGAGAACAAACATTAGCTAAGTTCATGCTGGTAGATAGTTATTAATGCTGAGTGATGGTACAAGGAAGAGGGGGCAGGGAAATTTCATTAAACTATTCCCTCTACTTTTATATATGTTGGAAATTTTCCATTATAAAAGTGACAAAATTTTTAAAAGTCCATTCTGACTTGAAGTAAATCAAAATCCATTATAAAGACCATGTAATGTAATAATTTTAAAAAGCGCATCATCAATTTGCATATAAGAACAAAACACATAAATATATAAAGCAAACAAATTCATTAAAATGGGCTGTTTAACAAGCCATTTAGAATCAGACATATATAGGAGTCAAAAAAAATAAGAGCACAGCAGAACTGAAAAAAAATATTAGCTTCATTTAATGGATAGTCAACTTTATTACCACTTTTTTGATATATATGTGAAATATATGCAGAAATGGTTGTACGCTAAACCAAAAATTTTCAGTGTATATTCACTGTTTAGGATTCAGTGCAATTAAAATCTGTGAAAAGATTAATATAAAACCTTATCTACTTGAAAATCAAAATAAAATCAATAAATAACCAACAGACAATAACAAAACTAAATCAGTAAAACATATAACAAATGTCGGAAAAGATTTGGGAAAATGGGAACCCTGATACACTGCTGCTGAAAATGTAAAATGGTGCAGTCACTTTGGAAAGCAGTTCAGCAGTTTTTTAAAAAGTTAAATATAAATTTACCTTCTGACCCAGCAATTCCCCTCCTAGGTCAAGCTAGCCAAGAGCAATAAAAATGTATGACTAAATAAAGACTTGCATGTAAATGTTCATAGAAGCATTATTCATAATAGCCAAAAAATGGAAACAACCCAAAAGAATATCAACTGATGAATGGATAAAGAGAATGTGGTACATCTTTCAGTGGAATACTGTTCAGTAATAAAAAGGATTGAAATATTGAAACATGTTATAACATGGATAAACCTCATAAACTAAGGGAAAGAAGCCAAACACCAAGACCATATATTGCATCATTCCATTTATATGAAATGTCCAGAAAATTCAAATCTACGGACAGAAAGTAGATTAGTAGTTGCCTGGGGCTGGGGGTGGGGGTACAGAGATTAGCTGTAAATGGGCATGAGGGATCTTACTGAGGTGATGAAAAATGTTCTAAAACTGGGTATTAGTGATGGCTCACAACTCAATAAATTTACTCAAAATCATGGAATTGTACACTTCAAATCATAGCTTTTAGGGGCCGGCCCGTGGCTCACTCGGTAGAGTGCGGTGCTGGTAACACCAAGGCCCCGGGTTCGGATCCCACATGGGGATGGCCGGTTCGCTCACTGGCTGAGCGTGGTGCTGACAACACCAAGTCAAGGGTTAAGATCCCCTTACCGGTCATCTTTTAAAAAAAAAAAAAAAATCATAGCTTTTATGGTAAATGATTCCTCAAGTTGTGTAAAGAAAGAAAGCTCATACTATAAATTATCTAAAAAGTGATTAAAAGGAAGCAATACTGCCATAAGTATTCGATATTGTTTTAGAAGATCTATACTCAAAATTATAATTAATCAATTAAATACTGGAAAAGATTGGTTAACTATCTCTTTTCTGTGATAATATGAACATAGAGCTAAAATAGGGCTGTGAGTAGCACAGTTCCAAAATGAACATTCACACTGTAGTCTATGTGAATGTTACAATCTCATGTTGTCCAACAAGTGTCCCTGCTCTAGAAAACTAGTTAAACAACAAGACATAAACCAATCAATCAAAGTGAAAACGTTATGTTAAAAAAATTTTTAAAGGTAACTACAAAAGCAGCTAGATATAAGATATATATTTTGTTTTAAAGAACTTTTTTCCCTTTTCTAGCAATATATGACTAGAGATGAAAATAGGGAAAAGTTCCATTCACAATAGTGATGTATCTCTTTAAAACACTTAGGGATATATTTAACAGAAAAAGTACCAAACATATGTTAAATAATATATGTTAAAATTTTAACTTTAATTTAAAATGTTAAATGCTTATTTATTTCATATTTTTGGATAAAAAAATTCAAGCTTTGATTCTCCTTAATCTACAAATTTAACAGGCTCTCCACCCTGGCCCATGCCATCATCATCTCTTCTCCTGATTGTTACAACAGGTGTTCCTGCTTCTGTCCTTGATTCCCTAAGTCTAATTTCAACATAGCATCCAGGGGGATCCTCTTAAAAATTAAGTTACATCATGTCTCATCTCTGCTTAATATCCACCTAAGTCTTCCCATCTGACA